GTCTTCGGTTAAATGATTCTTCAGCCGTACTTTTCAATCGTGACTCCTTTCCTACTGGATCTAATCATGCGAAATTTCTATATTTGGAGCGTGGGTGTATTGTGAATATTTACCACTATTAACCTGCAATCTGATCATGTTCCAGGTATTTCAAGGAGCATGAACTCAAAATTGTTTGATGGTCCTTCTAGGATCTCTTTCCTTTTTGCCCTGTCTGAAGTGTACAATGTCTGCTAATGCCGAACACAATAGATGAGAAAATCGCACACAAGGTGCGAATAAGTGCAGACATCAACAACTTTACTTTGAGCAAAATCTGCTACCGCAACAAACACCTTGCTCTATCAGTGGATGTTGCAGCTTTGCATTCATATAGTGTTGGGTAGGGTGAAATATACTCTAGTTGAACATATCGAAATTTCGCGCGAATTGGTCTACTAAGAAAAAAGTTATGAATGAAAAAGCGTCGAAGCTTTTCACCGAAGACTTCCGAGCGCTACTGTACTTTTTTCCCAACTTGGTCTCTCCGACCAGACGGGAGTGGGTGTTTTCAGAGCTCATTGACGGGCCGGCCGACGGTGTTGCTGGCTACGTGTTGAAAACACTGGACAGATTGTGTTCAAGTCATGAGGAAGTGTTATCCATGGGCGTCAAGTGTGGTCGACACGTAGTCAGCAACACCGTCGATCGGTCGGTCGTTCATCGCACTTTGAAAGCGCCCAGTGATGTCTAATGTGAGTCATTCACAGATGTTGGCAACGACTCTCAAAATAAATTACTCATTCACTTTGTTTATTATCGGCAAAACCGTAGAATTGCGAAATATATGTTAAACTGATGACAGTGCCTCTGAATCTGTTCTTAGAATCCAGTTGAAAATATAGAAAGTTCCACGTCTAGGGTGTCACGTGCGAATGTCATCAGTGAGGACTCGAAGAGCCATTTGCCAGGCAAACTTACCTACCTGCATACAATTTTGTGCCCTTAAGGGCTGCTCATGCTGAAAAAAACAAACTTTAAAAAAGTTCAGAGGAAAAACCTCAGCCTTTGAGTTTTTTTCTAGGAAGTTGCTATAAGGGGATAACCACCACACTTCCGGACAGTTGTTCAGAAAAATTCTGTTTAGGTGGTGCGTGTGTTTAAAAATGATTCATGGCTTCCGCTACTGGAAAACGACCCTATGCCAACGCTTTGAGCTGCATTTTTAAGAAATTCCAAAGAGTCGAGAGTGTAAATGCAGTCACCCCTGATACCACTCAATCCAGTGGCTCTAGAGCTTTTCTACACGCCCTGAATTTCGAAACATCTCACTCGTCGTTGACGACCTTTAGTTTTTTGAAACTTTCTTTCTCGGCTCCCAATCATAACATCGTATCCTTTGCCAGCATAGTCTTAATTTGAGATTCGTACCTATGACGAAGGGCGGAGGTCGTGTAGTGCCAAGTGGCGCACTATATCACACGCACCCCCAGGGGTTCGAATCCCGGATCGATGCCCGGCAGGCCAACCAAGCCCTCCATCCCTCCTGGGTCGGTGAATTGGTACCAGACTCGTCTGGGATGTTAAAAGCACTAACTTTTACAGCGGCTGGCCACCGCAAGTCATTGTAAAGGCTACATACGCACTCATCACTCCACTGCGATTCTGAATGGGAGTCGAGTGCGGGAGCGCATCCCTTAGACGGGATTGATTAACGCCAAAAACTTCATCCTCTATTTCGCATAGGACGAAATGGGGCAATGGTACAAGATGATTGCCTAGCGTAAAAACATATCTCTTCCTTCAAAAACGCGCTAGTTATCTGTGTTAATTGATAAAAAACTGAGAAATACCAGGGTTAAACTTCATAGAAAGAAGGCATATTCATTATTCACCATTATTTCTGTGGCTCTTGGTTTGGTATTTATTTATTTATTAATTGATTCATGCGTTCTATGACGCGCCTAGCTACAGCAGACGAGGCAGGACTGAAAGCATGACTCAGAAGAATAAAAACATTAACTGATAGCTATAGTGAACAGCAAATAAAACAGTTGTAAGTTAACATATTTAGGAAGAGAAAAAATGATTAGATGAAATGAACCAGCGCGAAGAATTGCTAAGTGAAGAGAATAAAAGAGATTGTTCAAGCGAGCTGCTTCCTTAGGCACAGGACAAAAGGAGTGGGAGGAACGTTCTGTGGGACACAATTAACAGCGAGGAATCTGTTCTGTTGGAGTTGAATGGACGGTATCCGGTGTGAAGTGCTGATAATTCGGGAATAGCTAGTTGTTACACTCGCATTCTACTTGAACAAGCACCTATCAAAGGATAAAGCCTTAGAGCGTTGATCAATCCTCTCTGAAGATACACCCCTTGTTTGATTTTCATTCGGAATCGTAGTGACATATCGAATGAGTATATGGCCAATAGAGTGAGTTGCTGTGGCCAGGGGATGTTCAAGTCATTGCTTTTACAAATCAATAGATCCCGAAGAGTTGGAAGTTTTGTTTCTCATAGTCGGAGATCGATGAAAGATTCGAACCCGTGATCGTGTGTGATAGTGCGCCATTCGCCTCTTTTTTATTCTTCCCAGTTATCGGACGGCTAAATCGCGAAGTACAACGGCACACAACCTCTTGTCTACATAGCGCTCGATCTGTAGCGCCTCTACCATGATCTCATATCCCTTTCAACCGAACAGATATGTAGGTCTGCATGTCCCGCCTTACAAGCCTTATACTCCTTGCAAAAACCTATTGACAAAGAAGCTTGCATGATCCATCAATTCCCCTCAGGAGCTTTCAAACCTCGTGACAAGGGAAACGTATGGAGGAGGGTGCCATAATCAACAAACTCGTACGCGCGTGCTTTTAGCCAGGGATGTGTCCTTTCAGGCGCACTTTTAAGGGCAGCGAATAAACGAATAAATGAACAAATAGATGAATAAATGGAATAAAACTCTATCCTCTCAGACTTTATGCCTAGATCCGAAAGTTTTGCTTCCGTTCCTCGATGTTTCATTTTTTGGTTCTTTCATTCTCTATTATAATTACTCAGGTGTATTTTTACAGTTGCAAGAAACTTTATTGTTCAGCTTTGATTTTTCTTGTTACGTTTTTTCTTTCAAAGCAACTCTGCCATTTAAGATGTGCAATTTGCTTTGAGAGTTCTCTTCAGGAGTTTTCACTTATTTCCATCTTTATTTAGCCTTCAAATTCTTCAAATAGCCAAACTGGCATTCGTGAAGTTGTGCTGTTCTAAAGTGTGAGCCACCTCCTCAATTACATACCTTATTTCCTAGTTGTTTTCGTCGTCGCACACAATATTGCCCATCATCGTTTTTGTTTTTAAACCTCCTCAACNTTCACTTATTTCCATCTTTATTTAGCCTTCAAATTCTTCAAATAGCCAAACTGGCATTCATAAAAATGTGCTGTTTTAAAGTGTGGGCCACCTACTCAATTACATACCTTATTTCCTAGTTGTTTTCGTCGTCGCACACAATATTGCCCATCATCGTTTTTGTTTTTAAACCTCCTCAACATACTTCCAATAACTTTTGAAGCAAGCATTTTGGGTCTTGATTAAGTTGATAATCTACCTTTTCAGGATGTTTCTAACTGCCGAAACTGACTTAGGTCTAAGTATGCTACGGTGTGAGCCGTCCAACGTCTCTTTGGTGGTGTCACCGATCTCTGTGATCTTCACATTGGCTATGGTCCATGCCGGTTCAAAGGGAACTACGAGATCCGAACTTGAAAGTGTCATCTCAAAGGGTCAGGAACATGGCCTGACTCTTCCATACTTCAGTGATATGTACGTCATCAATAGTTTTCAGGAGCCGATACCGAGGGGCTTAACTCAGTGGAAGGGTATTACGCAAGGCTTTTCAGACGAATCACGGAACCATCGAGGCAATCACTATCCCTCGTGAGAAGCAAAACACTTAATAGATTTTTCCTAAAGTAAGTAGGTTCTTTTAGGGGTTCATCTTTAAAGGCACAGTTCACAAGAATTTTGACGAACCTTTATTCGAACTTTTATTCAAAATACGGTAGTGAAGATGGGGAATAGTTTATCGGTAGTGAAGAAAGCGAGAGAATTCGCCACTTTCGAGAAAAATATGGCTCCTCAAAAGTAGGGAAAATAGAGGTTGGACGAGATTGCTATGACGGAAATAACATGGAAGGGGTATTCGGACGAGATTACGGTTACTGCAATTGCACAATGAGCTAACTATATTAAACCAGAACTGTGTAGAGCTGTCTTTCATTGTCGCTATGGGTCATAACAACTTATTTGAACTTCCTACATGGGTTCTCTTGTGATCGGTGCAGCCTCTACAATGCCGGTGAAACTCGTCCGAGGANACACACGGGCCAATCTTTGAGCCTTTATAGTTCCCTAACTAGGCCGTTTTCCTACCTAATAGTGACAGATATGGCATACGCTGGGTTCTCAAATTCATCCTGTGGGGGAAATCTCATAAACCATTTCATTTTTTTTCGTGAACAGTGCCTTTGATTATTCGTTTTTGATATTTCTAGTAAGCGGGCCGATGTTGAGATGGAGTATGAGGCAAATATGTTAAGTTCGTACGGAGCAAAAATTGAGCGTTGGGATTTTGAAAGAGCAAATCAAACTGCAAAGGTGGTTTTTATCATTTATCAGACCACCTGACATCAGTTCAGAGAGTTTGGAGTGATCTCTTTCAGATCCTTGCTGGCTACATTTGTGCATGTACTGAGGGAAAAATTTGCGACATGGTTAAAGAAGAGAATGTTAAAAGTAAATTATGCCGTTTTTCTCTCACGCACTCACTCTTTTTTCACTTTTCACTCAACTGATGCAAAAGTTTGTAATTCTGATAACCACCTGGTTGACTTGGAGAAACTGAACCAACCTTCCTAGGCATGTTTTCCTTGGTTGTCAATGGCCATTTTTTTACGGCTGAATGGAAGTTCAAGTTTGACAAGAGCTCAAATTCGAAGGGGACATTCTACAGCTACGAAGGGAAGAAAAGAGAGGTTGGCTACTAGTGTTCAAAAAATATGGCACATTTTCTTTTTTTTGCATTAGGACTTCTTTTTCTTGTTTAAAATAGGGGAATAAAGAAGAAAAGGGTAACCCGACTCTTACGGAATAATCACGCAACCGAACTTCGCGGGAATACATTTCGTCGCACAATAGAAGTCATTCAAAGGCTCAGTTCACGGTAATTAAGAGACATCCTTTTGGATCCGACAGTGCATCATAAGGCATACATGGGGGTGCAGGTGGGGGCGATCAGTTTTCTGTATTGCATCAAAACGGGGCTGTCGAGTTAGAGTTCGCTCTTACCCAAGTCCCCGTACTGAATCTTCATTCCTTTGGAAATACCACAACAACATTTTCGTTGAAAAACAACTTGTAATGCCACATATCTGCTCTCCTGGTAAGATTATCCCTACCAAAGTTTAAAACTGCGACAACAAAATCTTCGAAATGGGACTTCTAATTCAAGACGGACTTGATGAGGGTATTTCCCATAATCACGAGGTCAAAATACAACAACTCAAATTTCAACTTATTTCAAATAAATTTATTGTTCTGATACTGATTGATTGACTGTATGAATGGACTTCCATAAACCTCGGCATGTGGTAGTTGAATGTATTTCGTGTTTTGAACTCTCCCGAGGCTTTTATGGGACTTTATTAGCTAACGTTTCGCCGGTATCTCATTTTCTGAAACCTGAAATGGATCAAAAACCATTTGTGAATACCCGATCAAAAACCTAGACAACCCTACTGTAGCATCGAAAGCCACTCAACGTGGCATCGAAAAAGGCTCACAAAGAGTTGTCAGAAAATGTGAGTATGCAGTACCCAATGAAAGGTTATGAAAAGACTTCAATTCTCTACAATGGTAGAGCTTTTCTGAGATTCTATCTGAGATTTGCGGGCTTAACTTAAGGGTGCAATTTTCTTCATGGGTCGAACAGTCTTGAGTAACAGACTGCGCACTTGCACCATCATCTGAGCTTTCCAGGGTGGGTATCTGCTAATTTTAAATATTTTCAGTACTCCATTCCACTACTTCCTGGGTTGACTTAAAAGCTGCTATCGCGAATCATGATCTAACTACCTGATCTGTGCCTTTAAGGGTGTTTTAGGTCACCCTGAAACGCCCTTAAAAGCACAGGGCACGATAATTTTGAGGTACCCTTTTAACGTTTAAAAACGGAAGTGTTTATGTGGAGGAGTATATCGGTGGAGAAGAAAGCGAGATAATCCGGTTGCTTCAAACTTTTATAAAAAAAGTGTGAGTGGAGATTGTACGAGATCACTGCGACAGGAATGGCACGTAAGGGGCTTCTGGACGAGATTTAAATTGTTTTCAACGTACAAAAAGATGACTATATCAAAACATTTCGGTACAGAATTGCCTTTCGCTATCGCTATGCGTCATGACAAGTGATTTGAACTTCCCACATTGGTTCCCTCATGAATAGTGCAGCCTCTACTGAGCCGTCGAAACTCATCCACCAGGGGTGTGGCATTCACAAGAAACTGTCTCTGTTTCCCTATTGTGCCCTATCCAGGAATTTTTCGCCCTTATAACGACAGGTGTTGTATCCTCGAATTCGTACTATAGGGAAATCTCAGAAACCATTTTTATCGTGAACTGTGCCTTTAAGTAAGCACGATAGAGTATCTGCTGACGCTCTGTCTTACACTTTTTCGTGTATTGATGTAATCTTGTTTGAGTGAGAAATATACGAAAAATGACAGTAGATGAAAAAAAGAGTAGAGAAGGAAGGCTTTCTGGCCATTATATCGGAGAGAGTTGCTTACCGTACAGACTCCCATGGATAATTAGATGTAAATATAAATATGTATGCGGCAAAAAGAACATTTATCCGATGTGTCGCAAACGCCATCACGAGTTCGATCAACCAGAACTAAGTGTTTGAAACCTAGCTTCTTTTCTCCTCTATTTTCACATTTGTGAACGAAAATGCTCTGTTGTCACAGGTTGAATACATGAATGGTTCCGATCAAGAGATGCTTCACGCTGAAGACGACGATGTTAAAGTTCTTTCTCTTCCTTATGTGGATACCTCGTATGCCCTCAATATATTCTTACCAAAAAGCAGGTAAGGAAGGTGTTGCGTTTCGGTGATTCCGTTTTGTACACCTGGGCCGTGAATAGGCTGGTTCATTTATCTCTTCACGGGTCTGTTATTGGGGGCACCGGAAAATTCCCCATTTGTCTCTATACTACTTGCTTCTATTCGACATCTAGTCCAACAATCTACCGGATCAAATAATGTCACTCAGCCTGGTCGTTAGGAAAGAAACGCGAAAAAAGAGTAGGCTTTTAATGGACTACTAAAGTATTATACCATCGCAAAAGACTCAATGGATCCTCTCTGGAGATTGGATCCAAAGTCAATGGACTAACGATGCTGTGAGTCGAAAGATATTTCAACATAAGGAAGCAAGCCACACCACGTCGAGACGGATATAAGTAAGGAAGAGGAAGCCCACGCAGCGAGAACCAGCGACCTTCTTGTCGCTGTGATTCCCGACCGATCGTGTTTGATTGTAGGGGATCAATTGGGACGATGACGCACAGGCGTCCCGGCACACCCTAATAGTGATCCTTGCGATAGACTACGGAAGTTACACTAGTAACTTGAGAAAGATCTCATTTCCATGCGATTCCCTGGAATCGTGGAAAATATCACATCAAAAACTTTTAACGTTTGTGTACGTCCAGCATTTTTTTCCAGATTTGGATTGCACGAAGTTCGAGCGAGACTAACCGGCGAAAGAGTTCAGAGCCTTCTCTCGAAGCTGGAAAAAACAAAAATATCGGTACTGAAGTGTGTCGAGAATTTCATAGAGCCTTCAATGGCTAACTGAAGGCGTTTGTAACTTGGAGAGGAAAGAGTCAAAGAAGTAGGTGTAAATAAAATTGCTGCTTTGTGATAATGTTTTTTACAGATCACAATCCCGAAGATGAAGATTGAGACAGGCTTTAATCTTAAGAAGGCACTGAAAGACATGGGTGTTACCAACAGCTTCAGTACCAAAGCTGACTTCACCGGAATCATCGGAAGGCGGCTCTTGGTCGCAGGTGCTGCTCATAGAGCCACAATTAAGGTAGTTGAAAGCCCAGCTATTCTTTTTTATTTATTTATTTATTTATTTATGCACTCAGAAGTGCGCTTGTAACAGAAACTTCACCAGTTAGATAACACAAACATACTAATTGCAGAAGCAAACACAGATGAAGATAGAACAACGCAGCATAATGGAATGCATGGTAGTATTCTTAGAATAAAGCAACAACAATTGACAACTAGACTACCTAGCTGGAAGCACTCTTTAGAATTATTTGATCACATATTTATTTGCTTTGCTCTCAAGCAATGATCTCGAACTGTAGTGAAAAGGCGGGAATTGAATATCGTCTTGGTAGGGAAATTATACAGAAATACACAAAACAGACAATCCAGAAATTATATCATCGCCCTTACACACACTGGACGTCATATTTGCACAGAAAAAAATTGAAGTGAAAGGAAATATGAGATGCTTTCATTGATGCCATTGGTCGACTTTTTGCATTGTTACTTTTTTTATTTTGAAAAGCTGGAAAAGGTGAGCTATTCTTGCACTCACTAGCGTTTTTTGCTTACTTATGTTTACAACTGAATGAATTTTTGCTTACCATGGTCAGTCAATTATTTGCACTAGGATCCACACGTACGCAATGACCCATATTGTATAGCTCGTCCAAACGCCCCGCTCTTCTTCATTCTTCTGGTCTCACTCTCGTCCAGCCCCCTTTTCAACGATTTTTTGAAGAATTTTTTCACTTTGGAAACTCCGATACATGCCGTTTCTTCGCCTTCATCGCACTACTTTCCATCTTATCTTCCCTTTTTCGTCATCATCTGGATTACCCACAATTAACGTGTGCCTTTGAATGTATTGTACTTGTTTCTCGAGAAATCATTTGGGATCTTTCTTTTTGATGGAACTTCCATTCAGGTTGATGAGGATGGAACGACAGCTGCGGCTGGTACAGTGTTCACCAGGTTTGAATCAATGTCTGCCATCGTGGGAGAACGTGTGAAGTTCGAAGCCAATCATCCGTTTTTATTCATCCTCACCAAGGATCACAACCCTCTCTTTATGGGACAATTTGTGTGAATACCTTAATTCAATGGCAAACTGTCAATACTAAATGAAATGGAGGTTCATCCATTAAACTACCTTATATCTTGTTGTCATTAATCTTGCACCTCACTGTACTGTGTCAAATGCAGTGTGCCAGGCCTATGTATAAATTTATAGTATAAGTATAATTATGCATGTGTGTTCTTGTGTGTGTAGGCAATAAGCTGCTTGCGCATGAGTGAAGATAGAACGGGTTATGCTAACATGGCTTCCGTTGCTGGAAAACAGGACACACTATCACACTACACAGGCTCTGTGCAGCTATCGGTCAGAATTTCAATAAGATGGGAGCACCAATGTATTTAGAGGCCTCACACTTTTATTTGCCTCGCTGGCGCTAATGGTAAAGTTTATAGCGCAGAGGAGAGTAGGGCGCCGGGCGTGCACAGAGGCAGTTCTAACCTTAAGCATGAATTTTCTGCGAAAGTTCCGTATCGCGATGAGTGAGATGCTAACCGCGTTTTTGAAATGTTGGAATGGGAAAAGATTTTGCCAATGGGATACCATTGAGAAAGCGCAGTCGCTCGAAAACAAAGGCACCCTTACAACTACTTTTCGCAACGAAGCGTTATTTGAAATGAAACGCCCCAGGAATTCATAGCAATCATTCATTACGAGTTATGGATCGGTATGCCGACCATTTACACAAAAGCTCCAAATCACGACGATTCAGAGCATTTAATGGGTTGTCTTCATATTCTTCCATCTACAGGGTGCGCCATAAAAATGGTAACAACTTTTCGGACGTTCGTAATTTCCTTGTTTGGTGGGTTTTTCCAGATCTACATATTACCTTATGTTTGCGATATACCTTAGCCCACATATCTATTTTGCTGCTCTCGAATCGTCAGATTTTGAAAAACGGTGAAGCCTCGCAGAAATCCACTAACCGCTTCGTCTTTGCAGGCATTTAGTATCCTTTTCCGTGATCGCTAGTCGTTTCAATATTCCCCACATAACAGTCCCCTGGATCGCTATGTGTAGACAGGTCAACGACAAACCTCAAAACGGTCGTCCTGTCTCACATACCACCTCTTTTCCAAATACAATTGCTTGGGAAGGAGTACGCTGCGGAACCTGCAGAAACACTAGAAAAATGGCTGCTCATCTGTTCGTATGTTCTAATCCTATAGCAAGAGTCGAGCAAGAGCAAGACCCAGAGTAAACAACTGTAAGCAAAAATGATTCGAAAGCCTCACAAGTTTTTTGACCAGAAGAAATCGAAGAGAAAAAAGAAATGCCGTGTCCTACTTGTGCGCGGCACGCGCTACGACAGACTTTTTTCTGACCAGAGGATGTTCAGCGTGGGAGAAATGTTGAGACCCCAGAGTAAACGTATATTTCGCACTACGAGTGCTGAAGCCGCTGTGAAGGGTCAGATCGCCTCTCACAGTCATTTTCCTTATTTCATGATGGTTTGGGCTAGAATCTCTACCACCAGAGCGATATTGCAAATTTTGGTCGACAAAAGTACAAAATTTAATTAATGCAACTGAGGGTCAATGACTTTTCTAGCCTACCAATTTCTCGGGCCACAGTGTAATGTGTTCCTGGATACAGTCCATACCAGAGAGGAAGGCCTGCGCTTCAAAACGTACCACTGTTGCTGCTCCTGAGAAATCATTGAAAAAAGCCCGAGCTGGAGTTTCTCAAAATACTCTGCGTGTCACCGTTGATGAGTAGCCGAAGCGTCTTCGAGCTATAATTAGTACAGGAGAAGGTTATATAAGATCACCGTGAATTCATTTGAAGATGCGATGCTCAGTAAATAAAATACATGAATTCACCATGTGGCAATATGGACTGGGGTTTCTGTAGCCCAATTCTTTTGTTACCATATTTATGGCGCACCCTGTATAAGGACATCATTTTTTGGAAATTTTTCACGGAGTTCGTGAGACCCGACAGCAAGGCAAGTGTCGCAGTCACTGCATGTCTATCCCGGATAGTTCCCCGCCTCTTACCTATAAGCTGCTTCAAACCGAACTGTAGAAAGAGGCTAAACTGAAGAAGCCAAGCCTAAAATCCCTTCCTCATTCACTTTCCTTCGCGCTCCGTATACGTGTTCCGGCCATAGAACGCTTTTGTGCTGGAGTACTATTAAGATAACAAGCTGTCAAATATCAGCGCAAGGCTATGGTCCACGAGGAGATAAGGCTAAAAATTCCCTAGATTCACGAAAGTTAGGGAACCACTTACGACTTTCATTTACTTTCATGATAACTTACGTCATCGAAGTTTTATTCTAAGAAGATTTTGCAACATGGTTCTGGAATAAAACCATCTGGGTTCGATCGTTTGCATCAATTCAACACGCATTTTTATGAAGAGGGTTCAAAACGCTTGCATTCATACACAGAAGAATCGTAGAAATGAAGTCACGTAAGTCGCCTCTATGTATAGACGGTTCTGAATTCTTATGAAGCACTCGAGCAAGTAACGAACCTGCACCTCCGAACTCATATGCTCTCATTATATAATTGAAGTTTATGGAGAATTCCTGTTGATAGAGATTGCCTCCACTGCGCTCGACCATACCGTGCTTTTTTCACAACTTGTTCTTTCTGAACAAACGGGAGTGGGTTCTTTCAGAGCTCAACGACCACCGACCGACGGTATTGCTGGCTACGTGTCGAAAATACTGAGCAGATTGTGTTCAGAGCTGCGTGAGTCATGAGGGCGCGTGATCCATGGGCGTCAGGTATGGTCGACACGTAGTCAGCAACACCGTCGATCGGTCGGTTGTTCATTGCACTCTGAAAGCGTCCAATGATGACTGATGTGAGTCATTCACAGACGTTGGCGATGACTCTCAAAATAAATTACTCGTTCAGTTTGTTTATTATCGGCGAAATCGTAGAGTTGCTCGCCAGTGCTTCTGAAGCACACCTTAAAATCTGGTTGAGAATTTAGGATGTTCCAATTCGAGGGTGTCCGTGTGAATGTCCTCAGTCAGGATTTGAAAAGCCATTTGCCAGTTAAACCAACCAAGTCACGAACCAACCAAGTCACACAATTTTTTGCCCTAATATCATGCTGAAGGAACGAACTTCGAAAAAGTGCCGGATCTTCGTTGGCGCTTGAAAGCGATTCTGAGCCAAGGTATGAAGATGTCCTGGAGCCCGTGTTGGGAAGACACTCTTCTCGTACGCATATGAAAAGTGGAGGGGTAATCGGTCAATGGAATGCTCTCTCGCTTAAAGAGCGTGGACGTCTGAAGAAGAAGACAACATTTAGCTGCACAAATATCATTCACCACAAATTGTAGGCCTTTTCCCACAAGTCCCTCGGCTTATCCCAGTTCAAATGTTCCGTTTAGCAATATGGAGTTCCTTGCAGCCGTGAGAAAGTTTCTCCTTCGTAGATTTTGCGGTTTTTGGGACAGCAAGGGCAGTACTTAAGGCATGCCTGCAGTGACCGGATTGGCTTCATCTCCACCCTTTTTGAAATTGCTACTAAAACACTGTATAAAGGGATCAACTGGAAAGTAAAGGCTCAACACTCCTTACTCATCCGCTTTACTTGCGCACTGTTGAATACCTGTACTGATCTCCAGAAAGATTTTATTAGAGAACTTTTATGCCAATAAGCTAACAAGTAATCAGCGTAATCCTGTCATCTAGTGTACATCTATGAAGTGGAGTACGGTTAAGATTCGGTTATATTAATTGCACAAATGGTAGTGAACCACTTTAGCGGGAGAGGACTGCAGAAGTTTTCCGGCCTTACTCATTCATACACATCAGAACCACTCCGACATTTTCTTCCACATTCATTGCTTTGTGTTCGGGCTTCAAGAGAAAAAGTTCTTATCTCTCGAGATCGAAGAAACATGACATGCTACAGATTCTACATGAGACAGAAGCATTGATACGGGCAGCATTTAAGGCGCTGACGGTGATGTCGATCAGTGCTCACCGACATCCGGTCTGCCTCGTAGGATGATGTCCTGCTGCGGTATCCATAGTAGGCCAAAACAATTTTTCGCTCATCGCTCTCCTTCATTTTTCTGATTTAGTGAGTTTGATTGTCATCCATCACCCACTCTATTAGGCTGATGCATAATTATTACGAATTTTTTCAACAAATAATTTTGAAAAAACGATAAAAATATTTGTCGAAGTCATATTTAAATATTCACTCCGGAACGTATCTACTATCGACATTGAGCATTGCTTATCATTGGCCAGGCAGTCGGATTCCTTAGGTGGGGAAATTTCGATACTCGGAGGCGATCCACGCTTTGGCATCGGCCATCAAGGCATCCAGTTCGTACGCTGAGGNACGAACTGGATGCCTTGATGGCCGATGCCAAAGCGTGGATCGCCTCCGAGTATCGAAAACTTGACTGACTGACTGACAATGACTTTGCCACCTTCCAATCTTTCTCGAAGTAGTAGAGCATAATGTGGCGAATATGAAGATGACTTTCAAGACATATTTCTATTGAGGAGAGCGAGAAGGTTATTGCTATTGAATCCCGAATTCAATATTCGAATTGCATCGAGAGGAAAGAAAGCGCGAAAAAATCTGCAATAGTTATGCATCAGCCTTATAGCCCAAGGCTAGTTTTGATGCTGTGTAAAAAATATCACTCATAAATAGAAGAATAAAGGGTTCAGCGTTGGTCAATCCCATTTTTGAGATGTTCTTTTCCATTTCATAATCAAAGCGATTCGAATGCGTAAGCTTCCTATACAATGACTTGCACAGACCAGCCGATGAACGATTTGGTGCTTTCGCTTCCCACAAAAATCTGTCGCTAATCGCTCCACACTGGAGATATTTAAGGTTTAGCTAGCTTGAGCCCTATATTTGTTGAATAGTTGGTATCAGGTTTGGTCGGGAGGATAAAAGCCAGAGTATCGATCTGGGATTCGAACCACTGACCGTATGAACGTGTGAAATGTCACATCTCATTTTACTCTCGTGAAAAATTCTTCATCCTCCAAAAAGTTATCTGTGTTAATTGATAAAATACCGAGAAATACCAAGGCTAAACTTCATAGAAAAGAAGTCTAGTCAGTACTCTATCATTTCTGTGGCTCCTGAACGGTTGGAAGTTTATCGATGCAGGATTCGAACCCGTGATCGTGTGTGATAGTGCGCCATTTGCCTCTTTTTTTACGTTTCCCAGTTGTCGTTTGGCTAAATCGTTATGTACAGCGGCGCACCACTTGTCGTCTACACAGCCCTCGACCTGTAGCGTCTTACCATGGTGGTCCCATGCCAATTTCAACCGACTAGATATAAGCCTGCATGTCTCGTCTTACAAGCCTTACACCCTCACAAAGTCCTTCTAAGAAAGAAGCTTACATGATCGTCGCGCCCCCCAAGAGCTTTCAAACCTCGTGACAAGGGAACCGTATGAAGGGATGTCATAACCAACAAATTTGTACGCATGGGCCTTTAGTAAGGGAAGGTTCCCTCTGTCATAATGCATTTACGAGTGAGTTGAAGAAACAAACAAATAAATAAATGAATAAGTAAAGCATAGTTTTTTCTCATCAGATTTTATTGCATAGTTTCTGAGGGATTGCTTTAGCGTCTGAATGTTCCATGTTTATGATCCTCTCGTTCTTTATTATGATTACTCTGATGTGTAGTTGCAAGGAAATTTTCTTGTCACTGCTATGTAAGATGTGCAACTTGTTTCATGAATTCTCTTCAAAAGTTTTCACTTATTTATATTTTGTTTAGTCTTCAAGTTCTTCCAATTGCCAAACTGGCATTCATGAAAAGTGCTGTTCTGAAGCGTGAGCCAACACTGGATTTCATGACTTTTTTCCCATTTGTTTTTTATCGTCACACATAGTGATCTCCATCTGCGTTTCTGTTTTTGAAGCTTCTCAACATACAATGTGTCCCAAAATTATGGGTGCCACAATTCAGGAACTTCTGAGATAGAAGTAATTTATCAAATCTCCATCACCCGCTACTAATTAGTTTCATAGGGGAGTTTTCTTGCGATATGCATGGTTACTTCAGTAAAACGCCCGGTTTTTTCCACTTGGCTGGCTCAGGCTCATTCAATACCGTTTGCGATGATGAACATGCGAAAGGAGGGAGGGCATCATGAAATATCTTGTGATTTCTATAATATGTGTACAAAATTCTCTTAAGCGATAAGGAGAAGGAAATCCAATCAAAGGCAAACCAGGAAGGAATAGAAAGTCCAATATTTTAAAATGTAGGACTATTAAAATGGTCCGTTTGCAAGCCGAGCGAGAGCCTGGGCGACCCACAAAAAGACGGCTAAGAAGCGGGATTTGTCGATATTCGGTGGAGCGGATTGTCATTCAGGAGATTCATTGCGATTCCATTCTCAATGCCTCATCGTTTCCAAATTCAATGGACAGCGTGGGGTTTGAGAAATTCCGAAAGTTGACGACCCATTCAAGTGGTGACACTGACACAACACAATCTCTCACAGAAAATCTGCCATAAGAACAGCAAAATGATGTATGAGGGAGTCACTGACAAAGGTGAGACGCCGTTGGTTTAGTTGGTACTGGCATTAAAAGTGACAAAGACTGAGGTGTTTGGAAGGCAAAATGATCGGCGCTGAAGCACTGACACATCTCAGCTTCCTGAAATAGCTCCTAGTCCTTCCAGCAGGACGGAAATTCAGCCCACAGCGCCAAGCTCGCCCGGTAGTGTTGCCGACGCTAGCTGCCCGACTTCGCCAACAATTAGAAATGGCGATCGTGCTTTTCAGGCCTTCACTGACTTGACTCCTCCATTGGTCAATGATTAGCAGAGGACCTGTCGGGCTTGCAGTCCGATTTTGAATCTTGGAGAGCAAGAATCAAGAACGGCTGGGAAGAAATGGAGGAGGCTGCTTGCGAGCTATATGGGAGGGGTTCGGGAGCAAACCTTGGGCTCTATCCGTGCTCATAGGGAACATTTTGAAATATGACTGTAGCATGTTGTAGCACATGATGTTAGCGAATGTGCGTATAAATTCCATTGTCATTCTCAGCTGAGAAGCTTCGAATACATTGTCATGAATTGGCACACATAATTTTGGAACACCCTGTGCTTCTAAACTTTTTTGAACAAGCATTTATGGTCTCGACTAAGTTGACAACCGACCTTTTAGGATGTTTCCGACTGCTCAAACTGACTTCGGCTTAAATATGCTACGGCATGCACCGTCCAGCGTCTCTTTGGTGATGTCGCCGATCTCTGTGATTTACGCTTTAATCATGCTCCATGCCGGGTCGAAGGGAACCACGATGACTGAAATTAATTCAGCCATTTCAAGGGGTCAGGAGCGTAGTCTGACCTTTCCAGGCTTGGGTAATATATATGTGTGTCATCGAATGTTTTCAGAATCAACAAATATGGAGGGATATTATGCAGTGCAAAGGTATTACTCAGAGCTTCTTGATCAAATCATGAACTCAACAAATGGCGTGAAGAGCAGGATAAATAATAGTTTTTACCTGAAGTAAGTGAGATTATCCCAGGAACTCGTTTTCATTTGTATGTTTCTGAAATTTCTAGTGAGAAATACGATATCTTGCCCAACTATGAGCAAACCCTGAGAACTGCGTACAAAACAAAAATTGAACGTGTGGATTTTGAAGATGCAGATGAAGCTGCAAAGGTGACCTCTACCCTTTATCAATCCACTCTAACATCAGTTCAGAAAATTCGGAATGATTTCTTCCAGCATTTTGATGATGCCATAGCGAAGATGACTGAGGGAAAAATTCGCAACATGCTAAACGAAGAGAATGTTGAAAGTACATTATGCCGATTTTCCCCTCTCGTACTCACTCATTCTTCTTTTTTTTCAATCACGTCATGCAGTAAACTTGTACTTCTAATAACCGTCTGATTGACTTAGAGAAACTGAACCACCTTTCCCAGAAAAGTTCGCCTTGGATGTCAATGCAAATTATTTTACGGCTGAATGGAAGTTCAAGTTTGACAAGAGCTCAAATTCGAAGGGAACATTCTATAGCTCCGGCGGCAACAAACACGAGGTAGATTCTAGAGTTTGAAAATACGGCATATTTTCTTGCCTTTTTGCACTAGGACTTCTTTGTGTTATTTGTTAAAAATAGGGAAACGAAGAAGGAAACAGGAGCGGAAGCCCAGTAGGGTAACCCGATTCTCGCCGAATAACCACACGACCGATTGAAATGCAATGTTAGAGGTTGTACGAGATTACTTTCATGGGAATGCTATGAAGGATTATTCGGATGAGAGTTGGATAAAGAGCTGAACATATTAAGCTAAAAATGTTCGAAATAGTCTTCGACTTCCACCATTAGTCAAAATTACTGTTTCAATTTCCGGTATGGGTATCCCTTTTGGATGGTGCAGTCTCTACAACGATAAAACGCTTTTGCCTCTGGGACAAGGGACGTCTTCAACACACCCTATTAGTTTATAATATAATAAATACTTACCAGTTGGCCTGCGCACGATACCGTGCACGTCTCATGGCTTGATAAATGAACTTCTATGAGGATAACCTGTAGCGTAATGGTCTCAGCAACATAGCAATCACCCTCTTCCGGAAGAATGATGAATACCGTTCTACCACCCCAAGTAATAGCGTCATAAACCGTCGGCGAGAGCGCACATTCCTAGCAAACTTCTGAAGCTTCGAAATGAAGAGGGCTCACAGAAATTTGTCAGAGAGAATCGAATCTGCAGTATCCGATGAGCAGTATGGAAAGACTTCAATTTTCTATAATGGTAGGGTTATTCTGTGATTCTATGTGAGATGTAAAATTTACAGGACATTGCAATTTGAGCATTGTCCTGCAAATTTAAGTTGAGGTGCAACTTCCTTCATGGGCCGAACAATTTTGAGTAACAGACCGTGCAATTGCACTATCATCTAACCGTCTCAAAGCGGGTATCTGCATACTTCCTGGGCTGACTCGAAAGCTGCTATCGCAGACACTGAATATGCTACAAATGGGTCACCCTAAAGCGGCCTCAAGCGCGCCTGAGTACCTGCTTAGCTCAAACTTTTGATCAGCCTTTTCTACGGCGACGCTTCACTCACCAGTGAGTCCTTGCTTCATTGTTGCTTTTTCGTGTACTGTTGTAGTATTATTTGGGTGAGCAAGATAGAGAAAATGACAGTAGTTGAAAAAGAACAGTAGAGAAATAACGCTTTCAAGTCATTATATCACAGAAATTCTTGCTTATTATATGTAATATCACATGACTAATTGAATAATGAATACACGAAAATGTGCTAATCCGTTACAGGTTGTATACATGAATGCTTTCAATCAGGAGAGGCTTCACGCTGAAGACGACGATGTTCAAGTTCTTTCTCTTCCTTATTTGGATACCTCGTTTGCCCTAAATATCTTCTTGCCAAAAAACGGGTAAGGAAGGTGTTGCATTTCGGTGATTCCATCGTGTAAATTTAGGACGTAAATAGGCAAGTGCATTGCGCTTCTGTTATTTCGGGCACTGGGAACATCTCCATTTCTCCCTGAGCTGCACTCTTCTATTCGATATTTAGTACAACAATCCACCGGACAACGTAATGTCACTCGGCCTGGCCATCAGGAAACAAAACGCGGAAGAAGTATAAGCTTTTAATGGACTACTGAAGTATCATAACATCACATAAGACTCATGGAATCCCCGTTCTAGACTGGATCCATAGTCAGTGGATTAATAGTGCAGTGAACCGAGAGATATTCTAATATAAGGAAGCGAGCCACACCACGTCGAGACAGAGATAGGTAAAGAAGGGGTATGCCAGGACCCGCGGCGAGGGCCACCTTCTCGTCGCTGTGTTTCCCGCGCGATCTTTTCCGATTGTAGGGGGTAATTGCGACGGTGCCCTACAGGCGTCGGCACGCCCTCTGAGCGATCCTTACGATACGCTACAGAAGGGTCACATGGATAACATGGGAAAGATCTCATTTCCATGTGCTTCTCTGGAATCGTGGGGAATGTGGCGTCAAAAGCTTATAATGTTTGTGTACGTCCAGCATTTTTTTCCAGATTTGGATTGCACGAAGTTCGAGCGAGACTCACCGGAGAAAGAGTTCAGAGCCTTCTCTCGAAGCTGGAAAAAACCAACATATCGGTACTGCTGAGTGTTGAGGAATTTCATAGGGCCTTCAATGGCTAACTGAAAGCGTTCGTAACTTGGAGAGGAAAGAGTCAATGAAGGAGTTGAAAACAAAATTGTTGCTTTAATAGTAAGTGATAGTAACAATGTCTTTCACAGGTAACAATACCGAAGATGAAGATTGAGGCATACTTAAATCTAGAGGAGGTAATGAAACGCATGGGTGTTATTAAGGCGTCCAGTAGCAACGCTGACCTGACCGATATCAATAGACAAATTAAGCTCAGAGCCTTCGGTCCTGCTCATAGAGCCATAATTGAGGTAGTTAAATGTTTCATGTTCGTGTTCCAGAAATCATTTAGGTTCCTTCCTTTTGACGGAAATTCCATTCAGGTTGATGAGGACGGGACTACAGCAGCAGCTGCTACATACTTCAAGAGGTTTAAGTCAAAGTCTGTCATTGTGGGAGGAAGGAGAAAGTTTGATGCCGTTCATCCGTTTTTATTCGTCATTACCAAGAATAACATTCCTTTGTTCATGGGTCAATTTGTGTGAATACCTTTGTTCAATTGCAAGCTGTAATCGAAATGGACGTTCATCCATAAAACTGCATTATGTCCACTTGTATTCATTAATCTTGCACCTCACTATACTGGAGGACGGTCAAGCCGTGCGTCCGAGGACGCGCTCGGCAAATTGCGCGGCGAAGTTCGTGGCGATTAAAACAACCCTGCCGCCTATTACAGGGACACAAACTTGAAGTGGAATAGTTGGATATGGTCAGCTCATCCTACTTATCTACTCTACTCCAGGTTTGTCCCCCAATGATAAACGCCGCAGTCGTCCAAATTCGCCACGAACATCGCCGCGCGCATCCTTGGACGCACCCCACTATACTGTGTCATATGCAGTGCGTCAGGTGTGTGTATATACTTATAGTGTAAATATAATTATGCAGGTGTTTTCTTGTATATGTAGTGCATTGACCATTTGGCGACCGCGCCTTTTGAGCATGTCTGGCCTGTGGGACCGAACACGCTTTTCTCAGGCTGTTTCGGTAGGGCGGGCCACACGGTCCCAGGAGCAACCTAATTTCTTAGGCGCCCATTCATTGAGATAAGAATTCATTAAAATGTCACAGAAGGAGTAATAAGTCATTCAAAAGGTGTACGTGCTACGTTGTAGATGGCTTGTCATTTCCTCTGTGACATTTTAATAGAACTTTATCTCAATGACTGGGTGCGGACAAAAACATCCACTTTTACTTTGTTAGGCTCTACAGGAAGTAGGGACTTGCTCAACTGATATTCGAACCTTCGAGGCTTGTGGGAAAAGTATCCAACAAGACATCACAGAACTTCGTTCAGACGCGGGAGATGAGTTTTGTCCTATGTAATTGATGGATTGGTCAGAGGCAGATAGCATTGTTGTGATAAACCTTGTGAGACCCACACTTCAAAGTATTTTCGGTAAACATTCCTCTCCGAGACTATTTACAAATTGGAATGAAAGTCCGAAATAGAGCGGGAGAAGATGCACTAGTTGCTACATCATCCTCGAAGGAAAAGGTCCGTTTATAACTCATGCCATAAGGGTCTCATCGAAATGCTCCAAGTGCCACAAATATTTGTTATGAGTGTTTTCCCAAATATTACACGTAGCCTGTGTGAATTACCAGTTGATAACGCTTGATTTTGCTCTTTTCAGTATTATCCTTAAATAATTTCTTGTTTTCGCCCCTAACTTCAGTTGGAAGTAAGTGTTAATTGAACCACAACACCTCAAGGTTTTTCAGAGGCTATGAGCGTAGCTGATAATGAAAAGCGTCAAAAATATAAAAAGCTTCAATAAATTATGTAAACTACACTACCGTGGCGGGCCTCGTGGTCCCAGGAGCACAGTATAGTGTGTCCCGACGTCAGTGTCAAGCTTGCGTGTGGGTGGAGATCGGAAATGGTTTATGCTAAAACACATTCCGTTACTGGAAAACAAGATACACGATCGCACTAGACGAAGGCTCTGAGCAGCTTTCGGCCAGAATTTCAATAAGGTAGGAGCAAAAATGTGTTTGGAGATCTCTCACAGTGCTCTGCCTCTCGGACGCAGATGGTAAGAGCTATAGCGCAGAAGAGGGCGGGGCACCAGGCCTGAAGCATTACAGTGCTGCATATAGGCAGTTCTGAACTAAAGTATGTTTTTTCTTTGGGACTTCTGTACCGGGGTGAGTGAGATGCTGATCGCGTGTGGGTTTGAAAAGTTAGAATGGAGAAGGATTTGGTCAATAGGATACCACAATTGTGAAAGAGCGGACGCTTGAAAAGAATTGCATTCTTCAAACTAAATTTTCGCAACCAGGCGTTTTTTGATATGGAACGCCCCAAGGGTTCACAGTAGTCATTCGTTACGAGTTATGGATCGGTATACCGACCATCTACAGAGAAGCTCCAAGTTAACCACGACGAATCAGAACTTTTAACGAGTTACAATCGAATTCCTCCTTCGACAAGGGTATAGGGTGTTTTGGTAGTTCTAAATAATGAAAACACAATGGATGTTCTCACGATTTCAAAATCTCTGCAAACTGCGGAATATGTACGCAGCTGCAAGCCATGTTTTCCTCATTTATGCTATCCATCATGTGGTGGGAGTCATATCCCCATTATGAATATTTGTAGATGCAAATAAATGTCAAAACTGTTCTCTTTGAACAGTAGCTAGATGTTAGAAACAATGCTGTATAAAAGTCTAACTTCTGGGGCAGATTCCGTACTGCTCCCTTCTCCGGTCAACGTCTGCATAAGAGCTTTCAACACCGATCAGTTTTTGACTTTGAATTTAATAGTTCAACTTTAAAAACCCCTCAGTTTGAATCGACATCTTCAATACTCTTATTTTTTTTATACTCATTCTTTCCATACTCATCTTTTCCTGCCTGTCAAGAATCCCTTCTACAATATGGTAGAGCGACGTTTCGAGTCCACCCAATGCGCTTTCCCACATCATCCACTCAATTCGCCTCATCCCAGCTCATGCCCTGAACTCACAAAGCTTAAAAAACCTTCAAAAGATCTGCCTAAAGGCGTTGAATGCTCATTGAAATATTCTAACGGTTGCACCAACCATTCTGTTGTAGAAAGCAGTGCTTGCTAGCTTAGCAGAGAGGGTTTACAAAACGAAGTAGCATGCCCTCGTTATTCCCAGGAGAAAGAAGCTTTTGGGAAGCCCAACTAAACTGAGGGGAAGCTATAATAGTAATGATTATAGTTACTGTTACACCAATCACTCCATGCAAGAAAAGGTTTGCTCGCTCATGAAAATGTAACAGCTAGGACCCCGGGTAGATGGAAAGAATGTCGTTCCACTGGTCACTCTAATTCAAAGCAATAGATTTCAATTTTATTTTCGAGAAATTTCCTGGTTGAAACTGGGTATTGTCCTGGTCTACTCTTCCAAGAAAGCGGGACTATGTGTTGAAACTAATGGGTTGATTTGTGCTTAGGAAAGTGGTTGTAAGATGCATGGTATTGCTCCATGTGAGTGGGAAGGATCCCGCAAAGCGCCGTTGCAGTTGTGCTGTTTAGCCGAGGACCATTCCATAAGCTGGCATATTCTAGGGCGAATAATCGAGAGTAGCTGGCTAGTTCCTTCATCTATTCATTATATGTATATTTAAACAGCAGCCTCAGTTGCAATCGGACTCAATAATTTGATTATTGTATCATGAAACAATTCTAGATGTATCTACCCTTCCTCCTTCTACTAACAGCATCAGCTTCAGCTCTTCTCAATGTGGTAAGTTCAAGTTGCCTTCGCTTTCAGCTAGAAAAAGTCAGTATTATGAATATCAGTTATATTTTTATTTGTAATGCCAAAACCTATACTTAAAACGGATAAGTCAGCTGGAGATACAGGGAGCAGCCTTCATACGAGCTGTTCAATAACGCAAGTTACAGAGCCTTCATGTTGTAAGATCAGGGTGGCAGGGCGGAGACATTTGAAGTGACCACACTATCAGTCGCTTGTTCCGGAAAGCAAGTTACTGATAGATACTCACCCAGGGCGGACTGAGGGAGTTTACGTTCTTCCAGAGCATCAAACTCGTCCAATTGACATCGGACTCGTCCTAGTTCACTATTTAATTCACTACCTGCATTTGGTCAGGGGTTGTAATCGCGGATCAGTACCTGCCTAAGTCAACTAAGTCGTCCATTCCTCTGGAGTAGATTAATTGGCACAAGAGTTGTCAGAGAGGATAGAAAACACTGATTTGTACAATGACCAACCATCGTATGTCAGTATGAGCCGCACAGGCATTCAATACGTCACTACGATTCTGAATTGAAGTCGAAGCAGGGCGCATCCCTCAGGCTGAATTGATGAATGCCCAAGGACTTTATCCTTTTAACCTTATGTAGGAGGTACTATGTAGGTACAGCATACTGTATGTAGGTACTGCATCAATTCCGGCAATTTAAAAATTGTAAAGCTATCGAGTTCATTTCTTCATAATTCTGTAAAGTGATTCTTTCCAAATCCGAATACAGTTTTATGAATAGTATGGTTTGGGAGGTGATTATAAAATTTCAGAGAATACGATGCATTTTTCAGAGAAGCGGTGCAGGAAATGCTGAAATTCTGCCATTACCCAATCAACAAACAACGCCAAAGGTATCGTCACCGATGCCGCCAGCTGTGACTCCAGACCCTAATGGAATGCCATTCTGTATTATCTGCTACATGGCACCCTATGCTGCCTCGCAAGCGGCGGCTTCCCGAAACGGATGGGTTCCGCCATATGGAGGAGCCGCACCGTGGCCTATGCCAATGCGAGGTGGATTTTATGGAGGTAGACCAGGGTCAAGGTGGTAGCAATGATAGAGAGAGGGTCGAAATAGCATCTGTAAATATTTAGCTAATTGCATACATTTGCAATCATTTCAGTGTAATCCGTTGCACTGTAAGATGAAATAAATGGTCAACTTAGCAGATGTAAGTATTCACCAATAATGTCAGGCCCACTTTTCGCTCTGAAAGATGTAATAAATGATGAGCTCAGAATCTAGAAAATCGTTTTCAACCCAGCAAGAGATTACACTTTGCGATAATATTCGTTCAGTCGTGAGGGAAGGCAGTGCAGTTGCTGACGTCGAGTATAAACCGGTAGAGGTCGAAATGGAAAAGATACACTTTGGAAAAATCGTTAAAAAGCGGACCAGCCAGTTTTTTCACCATTGTCGGTCTCGCTTTTGCCAACCCGACTGTGTAAGCACCAACTTCATGTGGATGTACCTTTTTGAATTAATTTAGTGGGACGTTAGGGCGGAGGTGGTGTAGTGACAAGTGAAGCACTTCACTCACGCATGGTCAGGGATTCGAACCCTTGATCGACATCTGGGTAAGCCAACAAAGCCTTCCATCTCTCCCTTGTTGGTCAATAGGTACTAGACTCGTCTGGAAGGATAAAAACACTGACCTTCACATCATCTAGCCACCGCAAGTCATTGTATAAACCACGCACCCATTTAATACGCCACTATGATTCTGAATGGAAGGCG